TAGAAATTACAATTAGTTATGCATTCAACATTTGAAATGTTAGAGAAATATAGAAGCTAATAAAGTAAAACCTATATTATAGACATTTGAATTTGTTTTTATGTCGACATTTTAATACTAATTCATTCCTTTGATTCAATAGTTGGTTTTGACTATTGTATTTTATTATTCTAATTTTTTCTTCTAAACATAAGTTACACTTATCTCTAAGACTGTTAGGAGTATGTGCAGATCTATAATCTTCCCATCTATCTGTGGGTTCAAACCGTTTCAATTTTCAAACATATATATATATATATATATATATATATATATTCATGTTAGTATATGGATTTAGTCTGGAGTATGACAAGTACTTAACGGAATTTTGCTCGGAATTTTCCAAAATAATGTTCGATCCATGTTCTTAATATGAAATTTAAATACTAAAATAAATACTTAATTAAGTGCATTAACAAGGAAAGATATTATTATAAAAATGTTAATTATTATTTTAACTAAATTAATTTTCTCCACGCTCCGCATTTAATGATTTGCCTACTCATACATTTCAATTGCTACTGGGTTCCCCATTCTTTCGGCCTTGTGCCACACTTAAGATACTCTTAAGAAATAACCTATAGAGGGCACTACAATACAAACTTGTATCGCAAGATCAGTTACGACTGAGAAGGGAGTTGGATCCTCACTTGGTGACCCGTATTTTTGGCCTGTTGTCACATCGAAGCTTCGCTCAGGAAATTACCATATAGGTCTATAGTTAAGTATATGTGCATATGTATTTATTTATATAAATTAACAAAGTAAAATTGTTTTTGTTAACCCTATAGACTCGATGGAATAATGGATAGCGGCTGGGATTGATTAATCGGAGAGCCGAGTTCGAATTCCAGTTGAATCCATCATATTCACTTACGTGTTAATACCCTTGGGAAGGGTATGAATCCTCTTCTTCTCCTCCCCAGCTATGGGTAAATAGCAGGACAGACCGGGTTCTGTAGCATTGGATAGTAACTGGTCTACCCCAGAAAGAAATAGCAACCTATTGTGGGAAAAATTCTGCTTCGTCAGTCATGTATCGAACGATACCTGATCGCCTACGTGTGTATCATGCATGGTACATAATTGACTGACTGACTGACTGTAGACTCGCCTGTCTAGCATAGGGTCACAGCCTAACCACACTCGGGATATAGCTTCATTAACCTACCTGTTGGCCTTGTGTTTTCAGTAGATTTTCTACGGCGTGGATTTTTTTCACAGGTCTGACCAGTTTTGAATTCAGATTTGTCCTTTTCCTAAACTGGTCGCCAACCAATGTTTAAAAGGTTCCCGCTGTGCTAGAAACTCCTACTTAGAGGGAGAAAATTCGTAGTTACATATTTCCAAAAGCCTCGTCTGGACAATTTCGTGCCGATAACCACTACGATACACACGCATTCAACATTTCTTCCATACGCGTGAACATAGCTAATTTCTAAGAAATTAATGGATTTACTTTATATTTTAATAGTCTTTCTCAATACGTTAAATGTTTAAATCTAATACAAATGATTAATATTTTACAAAAAACTGGTATGTCTACACAAACAGGTGTATCCCCAAAATAAAACATTTAAATGTAAAAACATGTAAACATATATGCACACACGGATATTTAAGCATAACTACATTTATTTAAAAAATGAAACTATCAAATCTGTTTATATAATTCTGAAAAAACAAAAAGATATGCTGCACTGACATATAGCTTTATTTAGTAATTATTGTTAAGGTATTTTTCTTCGTTATTTTTTAAAATTTTGTACATGTGCCTGTTTCTCAGAATCCATTAAACTGAAAAAACATTTTCGAAAATTTAAAACAAGAAAATACAAGAAATTCTTAGTCAACGTTTTCCGTTTCAAATTGTCATTCTTGTGGATATTTAATAAATATAATTTATAAGATACAATTTTCCTTTCTTTGAACGTCCTTAATAGCTTTCGTCTTTTCTCTCTTGCGTTTTCAACTGAAGACGTCATTTTTTTTTCTTAATCGCTTCCACGCGAAGTACTACAAATATTGGACGCAGACGAACTCTCTTTTTATCCAGAAAATGTTTAAAGCTTTCACTTTTTTCTTTCTATTTCAAATGAAATGTTTAAGCTTCATGTTTGTCTCTTATTTTTTAAAACATTCTCACTCAGTTGCATTGTTGTCGACTACATTTTATTTTTTTTACTTGAAACTAATATAGCAGACGATGAAATGATATTAATGTTTTTCGAAGTGTGTTCAAAATAAATATATAATGGAATCTGCGTGTTGCCAGGATAATTTTAAATTTTAAACCTCGACCCGAAAACCAATTCAGAAAGTTTAAACTTCATCGATCTGCTACCCATCGTTTTAATCACTGTACACAAAACGTTTTTATATACCGTAATCCTTTGTGTATATGACGTAATTTTCTTCATTCAAAATAGTGTCTAAAAGTCTGTTGGGTCTTTATACTTTAGCTTAGAACTCAATTTCATATTTTTCGGGAATCAAAAGAAAAATATCAGATCAAATTCGATTTATTTGTTTCTTCTTTTTATGTGCCAGGTTATGGCTCTCCACCTCCTCCTATCCCTTGTAGCTCTCAATTATCTTTCCTAATACGTTATGATTCCCAAATAATGAAGAAAAGAAAATTGTGGAGAGCTATAATCGTCTATATCTTGAAGGTGTTGCTACAACTTCTTTGACAATCGTTGTTACATCAGCTGTATAGAATTTGTCCACAAACAGGTGTTACATTTGTTTATAAAACTAAATATCAAATAAACTTAATGGAAATTAAACACGTTTATTAATTAAACACGTTTATTAATTAAACACGTTTATTAATTAAACACGTTTATTAATTCTTTATTTTTAAGAAATATGCAAATAATTTAATTTAATTTAATTTAAAACGCGTTTTGGCATTTAAAACAGCTGTATTTTTCTTTCATTTTATGTGCGATGCCCTTTCAGGACGTAGGCGATCATGGCTCTCCACCACTTTCTATCCTTTGCAGCTCTCAACAAGTTCCTTTCCTCTGCATCCTTCCCTCCAGACCCTGTTATCCACTTGCTTAAACTCGCCAGTTATGTCACTCATTGTTTTCCTTTGATTCTCTCGTACCCTCTATTCGACCCGTGAGTATCAGATTCTCCAGGCCCTCCTCCCTTATTATGTCTCCCAGAAACTCCAGCTGCCTCTTTCTGATGTTAAGTATAAGCCCCCTCCTTGTTTTCATCCTCTCAATGGCGTTATTTTATAATGTTGTCCTACAACACGTGATCCGTAGTCAACTTACTTCCGTTTGACTCTAAGTTTTGCTTTAATTCTCCTTTAAGCAACATATGCCGAACGGTCAAATCCCATTTGCAAATCACATTACACCTCCCTCAACCAATTTAATACAGAAACTAGATTGTGTGTCAAGGGTGTGTGTGTGTGTGCCTGTGTCAAGAGTGTGCGTGTGCGTGTGTCAAGAGTGTGTGCGTGTCAAGAGTGTGTGTCTCAAGAGAGTGTGTCTTGAGTGTGTGTGTCAAGTGTGTGTGTGTGTGTGTCAAGAGTGTGTGTGTCTCAAGAGTGTGTGTGTATCAAGAGTGTGTGTTTGTGTCTTGAGTGTGTGTGTGTCAAGAGTGTGTGTGTGTGTGTCAAGAGTGTGTGTGTGTGTGTCAAGAGTGTGTTTGTGTGTCAAGAGTGTGTGTGTCAAAAGTGTGTGTTTGTGTGTCAAGAGTATGTGTGTTAAGAGTGTGTGTGGGTCAAGAGTGTGTGTGTGTGTGTCAAGAATGTGTGTGTGCACGTGTCAAGAGTGTGTGTGTGCACGTGTCAAGAGTGTGTGTGTTCACGTGTCAAGAGTGTGTGTGTTCACGTGTCAAAAGTGTGTCTGTGCACGTGTCAAGTGTGTGTGTGTGTGTGTGTGTGTGTGTCAAGAGTGTGTGTGTATATGTGTGTAAAGTATGTGTGTCAAGTGTGTGTATATGTGTGTCAAGTGTGTGTTTACGTGTGTGCCAAGTGTGCATGTGTGTGCCAAGTGTGCATGTGTGTGCCAAGTGTGCATGTGTGTGCCAAACGTGTGTGTGCATGTGTGTGCCAATTTGTGTGTGTGTATGTGGGGACAGAAGAGATGGATTCAATGCTATCCCTATGCTATTTGCGAGTAAGTGAATGTAATAAACTATTGACATTTGTTCTCCGATTTCTCATTCTGAACTACCATCCATTACACCACTCGCACATCCATTTTAAAAAGAGCAATGGAGAAATTTTATTTGGTAACCTGTATTTATACACATAAGTAACAAGGAGAAACTGAATTAGAAAACACTACGAAATTGCTGTGTAAAGGAATGGTAAACTATGAAGGAAAAAAACTTGCTTCTAAAGGAACTGCGGTTGGAAAAAATCTTGCTGCATAAAGGTACGGTAAAGTATGTAGGTTGATTGATTGCTTATTTGTTTTACCAGCCTATCAATTTGCCTGGGTTATTTAATGCTGAAATTGAATTTTTATCCAGAAATGTTTTAGAACATTTCAAGTGGTTGTGAGGTTTGAAAATTCTTTTTAAAATATCACAAGTCATATAGTTTTTTTTTTAGTATTTTATTTAAGCGTTTCACCCCGAGCAAGGCTGGAAGTCACTAAGACGCAAAGGGGTTACAGAAGACTTGGAGCAAGATCAGATAGGAGTGATAGAGGAAAGGATGAGGAGAAGGATAGTGGATAGATCAAGGCAACTGGAGATGTCAATTGACATTACATTTGAATAGTTGGAGATTATATCTCCCAGGGAAACAGGAATAGGGAAGGAAGTTTCACAGGTAAGAGGTGCGAGATATGAAGCTATTGGAGTAGAAGAGACGTCTACATTTAATAGTTTCAACAGTGAAAGGATGAGAGCGGGATGCCAGCCTCGTAGGGCGCTTGAATTCATGAAGTCTGGGAACCAGCGAATGTAGCTCCTCAGAGCAATTACCATTAAAGTATTTGAACGGCGCGTCTGTGAGAGAGCGACTGTAGACGAGATGCCAGATCAGGGCCAATTATATTGCATATTCGCCTCTGGATCAAGAGTATTTTAAAACATAAGTCGTATGGTTCAACATACTTGCTCTATTTTCTATAGAAATTGGAAGGATTTTATTTTCTTATCGAATGAGTTTCGTTGTTCTTGAAGTTTATCTATAACCTCTTTCTCCTCTTTCTTTTGACGTTTATATCCGTTTGTTTTTTCATTGATAGCTTGGTCTCATACCATCTTCTTCTATGTCTGAATCACGCCCGCTATCATCCATAGGCTCGTCTTATTTTGCATGTCCTGATCTGAAGAATTCACCGTTCTGGGTATAACGATAAACTACATCCGCGTCCTGGGTAAGACGATAAACTACGTCCAACAGCAAGGCTTCTGATCAGGAGGTTTTAAGGAGCGTGGAACTACCTCTGCTGGTGTTTCCAGGTCCAACCTGATCCGTGGTGGTATCACCTGTTAGGATTCCAGCTATGGGCAAATAGTTAACCCCTAAACTCGGGTCAAAACACTATGAAAGTGTAAAAATACGTTTTTATACCAGAAATTCTTTGTAAATAAATTTACCAGCAATGCATTTTTGGAAAAAAAAAAGATATTACCATCTATAGTTATATGAAAAAAATTACCAGCAATAAAAAAAATCTCGTCTGCATTAAATAACCCATTCAGGTTGCCATGCCGTAAAACAAACCAAACCAAATCTGAAGAACTCAGCCCTTCTCATCCAGATCTTCCATTACAACGTATTCTTCTTCAATTCTAGGTCTTAATTGGTCAAAATGAACCATTAGGCTTTTTCCTTTCTTTGATATAATGCACGTGTTATGTCCCCTTTTCATGATGAAATTATCTTTTCCAGGATTTGCTACTTTGTCTTTTTTATACCACCGTTTTTCATTTGTTGAGTAAGACAGTGTTAATGGAAAACTTATTTGTCTTCCAATTAACGCAGATGGGCTTTGCAGTTTGGATGTATGTGGAATCATTCAATAACTAGGCACTAACCTTCAGTCCTAAATTTACTGTCTGCACAATTCTTTTCTGCAATTCTATTAGATCGTGGGTGGAGTTGTATAAAGGCAGTAACCAATCGACCTCCATCACAAAATTGTGGTACGTAGTCTAATACCAATGGTTTTAGTCAGTTATGTGCCATGTGTGATACACGCATAGGCGATCATGTATCTTTCGATAGGCAGATTTTTTTTACCCGCAGGAGGTTGCCATTTCTTTCTGAGGTAGGCCAGCCAACGCTATAGATTACAGACTGTCCTGCTATTTACCCATAGCTGGGGGTAGAAGAAGAGGATTCATAATTTTCCCAAGGGTATTAGCACGTAAATGAATGTAAATGATTCGAAATCGGCTCTTCATTAATCCACCACGCCTCCAATCGTTTAGGGACCCCATTTCTAGGAAATATCACCCATAATATTGGATTTATTGTACTCGTTTTTCTATATTTAACTTTAACGACTTCAAGCCATCCATTGCACTAAAAGTAGAAATAGGCCTATAGCATTAATGCGTGATTGGTTCATATGAATACGAGATCATGGTTCCAACTTTTTAGGCCATAAGTTCATTCCCCTTTGTCAAAAATTCTTTATTTCTGCACATGTACATATCTTTCTGTATCGCGATATTAGCCCGGTCACCATGTCTTCAATCTTAATCTCCTCTGTGTGGCCGCCATCCCACAATGCACATCATGTACACTTTAGAAAAATATCTTTTTCTTACCGTTTCTGGTGGTACTATCACATCATCATTCCATTTAACACCATCTTCCATAATTAATTTAGGCCTTATTTCTTTAAAATGTCTTTCAGATTTGGAACAATTATCCACTTATTTCTTTTTGATCCTTATTTATTTGTAACCTTGACAGCGCATCGTCATCTTGTATTGTATTTCCTTTTACGTAGTCAATGTCAAAATCGTATGCCATTAATTTTATTGTCCACCTTAGAATTCTGAATAATTAATTTATGCCTTATTTCTTTATAATGTCTTTCAGCTTTATAACAACTTCTCCGCTTATTTCTTCTTATTCTCTCAGTAATCTTACTTAAAATAGAGTTTTCGATGCCAATCTTTGTAAAGATATTGTGTCAGTTTCAACCCAATGTAATATTTCTTCATCCGGGATTTCCATTTTTTTTTCTTTTTGATCCTTATTAATTTGTAACCTTGACAGCGCATCGTCATCTAGTATTGTATTTCCTTTTACGCAGTCAATGTCAAAATCATATGCCATTAATTATATTGCCCACCTTAGAGTTCTGGAAGAAGTAACTTTCGGTAGCTCCTTTCTAGGGTTAAAAATAAAATCTAGATGTTTATAATCCGACTTTAATAGAAACTTCTTACCTAATAAGGCCTTTCGATCACTGTCAATCCTCTAGACAATGGCAAATGTCTCTTTTTCAGTATTTAAATAAT